TATTTTCAATTAAATAAAAACTTATATAGAAACAAAAGAGAACATCTTCGTGATCTGGCTGCTTGTTGAATCTTCTTATAAATTGTAACTGACACGCAATTCTAGAAAAAGAAAATAAGTTCAAGAAAATAATTATTGTTTTGTTTTGATTGATTTAGTCATTAATTATTTCCAAGCCTGTTACCAACGATCGTTATTTATTTATAAGAAGTTTTTACAGCCTATTAGAAATAATTATCCTGAACCAGTTTTCATCCTTGAGACCAGAGTAAAAAAAAAATTAATACCTAGCTTCGAGATAATTCTCTGCCTAGTCTTTAAATTAAATTGTCATAGTAAGCATTATTTATTATTATTAATTCTGGTTTATTCCAGGTTAATTCTTTGAGCATGGGTTAAGAGTCTAGGCAGAGTTCAGTATTATTAACTACTAGGTTATACGTAATCTAGTTCGTAACATCAAACAACAAGTTAACGAGATCTAATTATCCGACTACGACTCAACAACAAGGATGTGTTCGAATCGACCGTAAAAAAATATATCGGAAATATACACTTTAAGAGAAATTTTCAACATTGACGTGAACCATAGCTTTAGTTCTGCTGGCGGGTCTTTGCAAATGGGTTTCATTGTCAGCAAATCAATTATCTTTTTACTTTCACTTACCTATATATTTAATATATAGTAAGGGTAAGTATTGTGATCGTAAAAATTTTCGAATCTCAGTTTTCAACGAAAATACATGTATTGAGGTACCCTGAGTACAAATAACCAAGTCCCGCAAAATGGTCCGTATTATGTATGTGGTAAGTCTTCCTAAAAACAAAAAGTCGCACGAAACTGATATTACTTATTTAAGATAGGATATATGCCTTAGATGTTACAGCGACTTTTTCCTTAAAATCAGCTAACCCGAAGTACGACTTTAACTCAACAGTGAAATACATTTTTATAATTTTCTCAAAAACAGCTCTAATGATTTTGATTAAACTCGGTGTATCATTGTATAATTAAGTAGTCTTTAATATCATTTAGGTCTTATCTCCGTTGATGTCACTTTACAGGGCTTAAATGCCCAATGCTTACATTAGTCTTCCTCTAAAATTCCTTTAATATGGTTTATTTTAAATAATTAACTATGTCATTAATAATTAACTCATTATTAAGAGTTATTATATTTAAATATTTAGGTATCTATCGTCCATTTATTCCGAAAAACCATCATGTAACCTTTTAGAAAATTAAATTAGTGAATAGTTGGATGAAAATTATTTCTGATGGCGGGTCTTTGAAAATGGGTTTATTTGGCAGCAAATTAATTATATTTTTACTTTCACTTACCTATATATTTGATATACGGTAAGGTTGAGTATTGCGATCGTAATAATTTTGGAATCTCAGTTTTCAACGGAAATATACGGTATTGATGTACTCTGTCCCGCAAAATGGTCTGTGTGTCTGTGTGTGAATTGAAAAAACAAAACAATATCTAATATTGAAAATTGTAGAAGGTAACGGAGAGTGGCTAAAAAAATATAAATAATAATTTATAAAAACTAACATTATTTTAAATGAATCAAGTGTTTTCAACGAAATAAATGAATTTTTTTTTTAGTAAATGTAAACTCTTAACATTGTTTTTTTTAGTTTCTAAAAGTATTTAAAATCCAAGGATTCAAGACAATGACACAGTTTAAGATACTATTTCATTGTGCTTGTGTGAAAGAAGAAGTGAAATATAAAAATATTTCATGGGTATGTTTATAACCTTAAATATATTTACTGTATTTTGTAAGGGTTCTCGAATAAATATAGATCTGATATTATATTTAAATAATTAGGTATCTGTCATCCATTTATTCAGAACTGAGTGAAAATTAAATTAGGGGATAATTTGATGAATTTTCCCTTTGCGATATTCCAACAGAATCAACTTCATAATCAGGGTGACAACTTTTGACCTGTCTATGACAGACAATGTAAATTTTTTAATATAATTTTAGCAAACTTTGAAATTTAAAATAACTGTTTAATAACTAATAGTCGCACAATCCATAATCAGCCGGAGATATAATAAATAGGACTTGTGTTATTTTAATGATATTTATGATTTGTTAGCTGTTAGCTTTTAGCTTTGGTTCGGTTAAAAATGAAATTAAAAAATTTTATAATAGCCCAACGCAACTAGAAAATAATTTCTATTCTAAATTGAGTGGTAAGTGAAAGTTGTGTGTTGCGCGCACCAGATTTTTGTATTCATTCACTAAAACTAAATTTTCTGCGAATTATTCGCACTGGCCTACTAGTTATATATAATTAATAGTTATATTTAATTAAAAATACCCAAAATAAAATTTGCAGTTTTAAACTGAGAAATAGCAATCTACAGGTGAATGAATACAAATTTCAAATTTATCTCCTAAAGAAAAGTGATAAGGAAATCGTTTTGAAATAAACCCCAGCTTTGTTTATTAAAAAATCAACTACAAATCTTGATATAGTGAAATGATGTCTTTTAATGCTCAGGCAATAACCTTTTAAGTATTCTTGCTGCAAATATATTCATATCTGAAATCTCTGTAAGGCATATAAAGCTTATTATTAGTTAATAAATTTAAAACTTTTTATTACTAATATAATGTCTATTACTGGTACATTTATCTTAAGTATATAATCATTATTTGTACGAACTGCTAGGTCGATTTTTAAGTTGGATGCCTCAAATTATTCAGTGTGATCTCGTGAATGTTTGGAACTAATCCAAGCTGTAAACACTGTTTAATTATTTAATATACTGCGTTTAATTTATCCGTTCATTGATTCGTAATGAATTTTTGAACGGATGGTTGGATAGATTTTTGGATTTGATGATTTCATGTGTAATTTAGTGATCAAATAACAGGAATATAAATTGTCAATATTTCAAAACTAACAAAAAAAAAAAAAAAACTCTGCCAAGTAAGGTCAGTATAGTTTCCTCACTGTTTTCATTTGCTAAAAAATATCTATATTAAGGTCTGAAAAGTTTCTTATGAGAATAAAATATCTGGAAGAAGCCGTTTTCGGAAATTCAATAATCCCTCAACACAATAATATCCGTGAGGTTTGTTTCTAAACAAATACTAAAATGCGAAAAAGTTCCGCAATTTCAGATTGTATATTTGATAATTCGTAATTAAAAAAAAAAAAAATTCAGTTCATACTGAATATGTATCTCGCTACTGTAAGTGCAAATGAAGTATGTAAAACTTGAGTGTTTTAAAGGAGAGCATAAAAATTAATTATTTGTTTATGATTTATTATAACTTTTATATTTTATCACCCTCTGTTATTTGTCATAGTAGTAGACCACTTATTGCAGTCTACATAATGAAAACAATTGAAAACGTTTCATACAACCTTTGCACTAACACTATTGATACATACTTAATAGGTATGTTTGTACTCGTAAAATGGATGGAACAAAAAACCCATGGGGAAAATTCATCTTTTTTTTTTGTTCGGAGTTAACAAGACCAAAGCTTTTCCTCAGCCAGAACAAAACTAATTAAGCTAGAGCATAAAAATATGAGTGAAGTTGACACAATTTTGATATTTAAGGAGAAAATCGAGACCACGGCGAGCTGGTTGAACTTTAATGGAAATAAACACAATCACAAATAAGAAGTTTTTTGTTGTTTTTTTAACGAATTCAGAATGAATATATTCATATATATTATATATATGAAGAATATATTCATACAAAATGAAGCCATCATGGGATTTTCTAAAAAATATAAAATATACGAACAAAAAAATTGCGTTTAAGAAATAATTAAATATCTATCAGCAAGGAAAAAAAAGGTAATAGAATAGTAAGTGCAGTGTCTTTCAAGAGAAAGACATTAAGAATACCAAATCTAATGGACTGTATCTTTGTTAATAATTGACCGATTTTTTTTTATAAATAATAATTTAATAATTTTTCTAATAATCATGGGTACAAACATGAAAAAAATGGATACTTTTTGAGTTATTCGCAAAAAAAGTTTCTTTTCCTTCATAATATTTTTTTCTAGAAATATGACTATTTTCCAGATGTGAAGGAAAATAAGATCTTCAAAATAAGTGGTCAATTAAAAATTCAAGAAGTTATGGCGTTTGAGAAAAAAAAAAAATCACTTTTTAGAAATAATATATAAGATGTTTACATTTTTTCTCATAAACCTAACGACTCCTTTTTATCAAATTTTTAACATCGGACTGAAGCTTCGTAAATAGATTCATCTTATCGTAACCTACAAATATTTTATTTAAGAAAATTCTCGTGATTTTCATTCTGAAGGTCGGCAAACTTTGTCTATTTATTTAGGTACTAAAAATATCTATTTGATTTCCACTTGGATCGTAAGATAATTTGATCACGAAATCAATAAAAAAGGCGGCCTACAAAAATATTAGGTTGTTTGGCCTTTATAACCTCGTTATTTTGACAAATTGGGGATGTAGATCACGAAAAACGGCTGAATATTTTTGAAGGCCATATTTTTTGCCGACTTTGTGCTCAAGTTATCTAACGATCCAAGTGGAAAGCAAATAGATATTTACGAGTTTTTAGTACATAATTGAATAAACAATGTTTGCCGACCTCCAAATTTAAAACGGCCCATTTCCTAAAATTTTCGAAAATAAAATATTTGTAGGTTACGATGAGATGATGATATTTACGAAGTTTCAGCCGGATATTAATAATTTGATAAAAAGGTGTTTGTACCACTGACTAACATGTATCTACTAAAAATGTTTGTAAAATAAGAATTTATAATCCAAATTTTGGCTGAGTGAAACTCCCTCGATACACAGATAATTTGATGATTAAAAGTGAAAGTGATATTCAGAAGAACTTGAAGAATTTTTGAACCCGTTCTGAAAGATACAACTAAAATAATTACGGATGAAGTCGAATGCACGTCCTCGGCATCACAATTAAAACAAACACTGAATATATGTATATACGTACGTAGGCCGGCTGCGTCGAGTAAGACCGGAAGAAGGCAGACGAAGAACAAGGATCTGGATAACATGGTGCGTTCTGAACTCACATGGTCACTCCTCGCTCTTCCGGTCCTATATATCCCTTCCTCCCCACCATTGACTCCTCGCCTACTGGACTCTCCTGGAAGGAGGGAATTCGAGTCCGCATCAAAAATATTTTGCACTTATTTGAAAATATTTGGAGTGTATAGTCCATAATTTTCTTTTTCCAAACTCCATTAACCGAAAATGTGCGGTGTGCGGCATCACATTTTTTCACTTACATTAGAAATTAATTTTTACCTTCACTAACCTATACAGGGTGTCCCGTAAATGGAGACAAATATTTAAAAGATTGATAGAAGACATCAAGGTCTACAAAAAAATTTATATAAATAATTCTCCGATTTCTAGCAGTAAAGTAGAAAATTGAAGATATGCGTTTTTTTTTTTTTAATTAGCCACATTTACTGTAATATGGCTTAAAAAATACTTGATGTAAGTAATTGAACATTGCTCCATAGTAAACTAGATAAAATTTACTTTAAACAGAATCAGAATTTGTCATTGTTAAAACTATTTAAAGAGGAATGTTGGGCCGACAAACTCAGTTAAATTCCGTTTAAAAAAAAGTCATAAATAATTTTTTTTTTCCCTCCAAAAGTGTACTAAATTTACCACACTTTTAGGAAAACTTTATGGTTCAATAAGCTTTAGGTGAAAATAAATTAATTTGAGGTTTATTACTAGAAATTTTGAGATTCATCTTAAGTTGTGTTAGGACCAAACAAAAGGATAATAAAATAAATTTTAGTAAATGTAATTTTTTGTCGGAATTTAAAAAAAAGTCATAAATTATTTGTGATTTTTTTTTTATCATTCCGTTATATCACGGTAATTTATTGTGAGCCAAATATTAACCAATGATCTGTAAGTGAATTGTGTGCGCTGGTGATTGGGAAAATTGGTGTGGACTTTATGAGCTTGGGTCACTCAAATTTGATGATTGATTAAATTAAAAAAAATATTGAGAACATGATTATATTGCATATAATTGAATAAAATAAAATAAATGAAATTTGTGCCTTTGTACAATTGTGTGGTTATTTCCAGATTAATTACATATTGATAATTGGGAAATGGTTGACTGTCGTGGATAATGAAGAGAAGAATAGTTAGGGTGGTCAGTCAAAGAAGAAGGCAAAAACAAATGATAATATTTATTTTTACATATGCCGACGTTTCGACCTGAAGTTCAGACCATCATCAGGGCTAAGAAAAGAACCAGATAACAAGATATGAGAAATATAAAAATTACAGTAAAATGAACTTGTTAGAATAATGACAATAGTAAGAACAAGAGACAAATAATAATAACAGGTACAATGTGTGAAATAATGAAGTAAACATGGTCAAAAAAGGTGACATAAGTATTGTAAAGGGAATCTTAGAATAAAATATATTCCCTTGAATAAAATATATAGTATTCCCTTTACAATACTTATGTCATCTTTTTTGACTATACTATGATTTGTACCTGTTATTATTATTTGTCTCTTGTTCTTACTATTGTCATTATTCTAACAACTTCATTTTACTGTAATTTTTATATTTCTCATACCTTGTTATCTGGTTCTTTTCTTAGCCCTGATGATGGTCTGAACTTCATGTCGAAACATCGGCATATGTAAAAATAAATATTATCATTTATTTTTGCCTTCTTCTTTGACTGACCACCCCAACTATTCTTCTCTTCATAATTATATATTGCTTGGTTGTCAATTTGGATTCACTTTCTGTCTGAATTTGAGTTTCATGGTTTTGGCCATCTCTCCTCCACCATGTTTGTTCTCTTAAAGTTTTGCAACTCATATTGTCTTTTCGTTTCATTTCTTGAGAGAGTAACTTACTGTGTGCACACTTAACCAAAATGAACAGATTAACTCTACAGGAACGGTTTGCAGCAAAATGGTGGTGAAGTTCTGATTGAATAGCATTGTTATTTTTTGTGTTTGAGGGGTTGATCCCTGAACACATCCTTAAGTTATATTAAATTTACCACACTTTTAGGAGAACTTCTTTATTTAATACACTATAAGTCCGTTTTAATTTAGTTGAGGTTTATTAGGAAAAATTTTGATATTCACCTCAAATTGTGTAAAAAAATGATATTATTTGCTATCCAGTCAGCTTAAAGTACTATATTAAAATTAACTACAATTAACTGTTGCAAAGCTTTTATTTCTTGGTTTGCCGCGATACGGGATGTATCCGTACATATATTATTACAGTAAGGCTCGAAATCGGTTTTGTACCAAATATAACGTGCTCAAACAACACAGACATACAATCTGTATTCATATTTTGTTCTTAAGGGACAACAGTCCCAGAATAATAAAACATTTTTTCATTTCATTTCATTTCAAATACCATGAACGGGGTACCGTTGGATTCAGAATTTCACAGAGGGTTAGCGAATCGTATTCTCCACTTTTGTTTTTCTTTCTAAAATAAATAAAGTCGATACAAACATTTTGCTAGGCTTCAATATCTGAACGGTGGTAGGTCTGTAGATCGATACGGGACAAATTGGATCTTGAAGATTTTGTTGCGTACTATTTTCGACACAACGCAAGGCACAGGGTTCGCATCCACACAACCTTACATTAATTGTAGTACTGTCATCGAATACATGTCTCATTTCGTCGACTTGAAGTCTCTATGATCGAGAGAGGAGTTTATATTATTTATCGATGGTGTTTTTGATCGGCAAACCATATCATCTTCAATTTTTTACCAAATCTCAAGATTGAGCCACCAATTTCGAAGGCTTCCTTCTCCTTCAGGTGGGCAAAATAGTCCAATCTCACCGAAAATTCAGGCAAACAAGTTATGAAAGAAAACAAACTTTATTTACGAATAACTAAAAAATTACACTTTTCCCTTACGGGTTATGCCCGTAATTATATAAAAGATTATTTAATTCTCTACAAAAGGAAAAAAAAATCATTGAAATTGGACAATTTTTAACAAAGATACAGCTTATTGAAATTTGTAAATATGTTAGTTCCAAAACAAAAATGAAGATTTAAATTAAATTTTAGTGTCATGGCCGAAACTGAGGTTCTATATTCCTATCGTTCCGTCTTTGCTAGTTTGTTATGTGCTTATTATCTCAAATCCTGTTCTCAGACTTTGTAAACAGTGAGTTTATAAACAATTTAACATTTTTATATTACAATCAGTGAGGTGAGTGACTTTTATTAACAATTAGCAACATTAAATTGGTACTCGATTGCTAGAGACAGTTTACGTGGCTGATAATTCCCCTCAGCGGGTCTTATCTTTCAAATTCAAGGTCACGGCGCTTTATTTTACGTTCAGAATATCTTGAGTTCGTACCTGAGACAGTATATATATTTTTTTTTTCTCTGTTTTTATTTCTTAATTGATTATTTTATTTTAATATTTTTTTTCTACTGAGACTCTATTTTATTTATTTATAAAAATGTTTTTTTTAATATTTGTATGTATATTTGTAAATAGATTAGTTATTAAGTATTTGTTTTGTAAATTTTCTTATTAGTGATACTTTTTTTTTTCTCTCTTCTTTTTGTATATATTATTATTTAGAGGTATGGATTCTGATAAGAACATTTCTTTTGACGAATCAGATGAAGAGACTCCTTTCTCCGAAATCAGTGAGACTGATTCTCAATATTTAACAAGGCGAACTCTCCAAAAGCGCCATAGAAACTCTGCCCCCGGTTCGGCGGGCAACTCACCTAATAAAAAAAAAAAACAAATCCGCTAAAACAAAGCAAGCTCTCAAAGTAAATAAACAATCAAAAACTAGTAATAATTCAGCTATGAAACCTGACACTAAACCATCAACTAACACATCCAGTAACAATTCTGTTACAGCCAATAATAAAATTAACGAAATCACTGAACCTAGAACTTTCACTGAACCAGTGCCACCTCCGATTTATGTAAGCAAGATTGACAATTTCATTCAGTTCGGTCAAGAAATAGCTAATCTGATCGGACCGACCAACTTCCGGTGTTTTTCTCGAGTCAACGATATAAAGATTAACACCAATACTAAAGATGATTATAAAAAACTTATAAATCATTTGACAGCACTCAATTACGACTTCCACTGCTATCAACTAAAAGAAGACAAAACATATAGAGTGGTTTTGAGAGGTCTTCACTCTACCACACCCAGTACCGCTATAAAAAAAGATCTGGAAGATATCGGCCATTCGGTAAGACATATATCTTCTATCTTACATCCTATTGATAAATATCCACTGCCATTATTTTTCATCGATCTAGAACCAGCCCGGAATAATGCAGAAATCTTCGAAGTTAAAAGACTGCTGTATTCTGTTGTAAAATTTGAAGAGCCGAGGCAGAAACCAATAGTCGTTCAATGCACCAAATGTCAAAACTTAGGGCATACAAAGGCTTACTGCCATCACTCGGTGCGTTGCGTTAAATGCGCCGGGCCTCACGCCTCTAACACCTGCCAGAAACCGTTAAATGAACCACCAAAATGTGCCCTTTGTGGTGAGGACCACCCTGCAACCTATCGCGGCTGCATTATCTATAAGAAGCTATATAAGCAAAAAACTTATAATTTATCATTAAAAGAAGAACAGAAGAATTCTACCCAGGCACAGGTACAGGCACCTGAAGTCCTAAATTTGGCAGCGTTTCCTCAACTGCCGAACGAAATAATACCACAATTGACGCACAACCCTTCTACATCAACAGATCATCCACATCAAGACTCTAGGCACCTATATTCAGACACTACGGTGAAAAATCAACAGCCGCGACGTCAGACGCCTCAGATTTCCAAAACTAAGACTCAGGCTTCCAAACCTAAGATCCAGACCTCCCAATCCAAGACTCAAATCTCCCACATTCATTCAAAATCTCCACGTCAGCAAATGCCTCCTCACCAGATACCTATACGTGTAAAATTACCGCCCGAACATCCAACTCCTGTTTATTCCCACCCTACTGCTCATATTTACTCTCCTTCCCAAGTTCCAAGGGTACATCCTTCAT